CCCATGTTCCCCACCTATAGGTGAGTCAGAGATGTGGAATGAGTCAGCAGTCTCAAGGAGGGGTTCTCCTTTCTATACCACTTGGCTGGCTGACCTCGTCCAACTCAACCTGACCTTTCCTATGATGCTACTGATGTTGATGATGGAACCACGGCAACCACTGGACACTAGGGCTTGGCCTGCAGCCTGAGTGACTAGGAAGGTGCCCTGGTGGGAAAGGGCAACAAGGGAGAAAAGATCAGCTGGGATGACAGCCCTCCTCCGACTCGCCACCCCCCCGCCCCCGACTAAGGGGGCCAAAAAAAAAAAAGTCGTAGGTTCAGAGATCACCACCTTGAGATTGACAGCTATGACTTTGTCCCAGTCATCCTCAGACATGTGCAGCAGAAACTCATCCCGGGTGATGCCCGCACAGGACACAACGACAGATGGTGGGCGAGAAAAGCAGGCCTATGGGAGGGGGAGGTTATGCATCAAAAAACCCCCACAAAGAGCCGGGGCAGTGGACGCAATATTAGAGCTTTAAAGGGAGAAGGTGGCCTGGCGTTCACCTGCACTTGTTCCAGCAGGCGTCTGGCGGCACTGGCCTCAGACACGTCAGCCTGGAAGGCAGCGTGGTTCCCTCGGGGCGGCCCCTCCTTGCTCCCTGGCCCGCCCAGCAGCCGCACTGTCTCCTGTGCCGCTGCCCCGTCCAGGTCGCAGGCGGCTACTGTGGCCCCCTCTCCGGCCAGCCGCACACTGACCGCCCGGCCGATGCCGCTCCCCGCACCTGAGGTAGGACAGAACACGCGGGGACCGGGCAGGGGGAGGAGAGGGCAAGGATCAGAGGTCACAGGGCAAAAAGTAAAATGCGGAAAAGGGGCCAGAGGTTACAGCGGCCTCGGACTCCAAGGGCACGCCCCTGACATCACTCCAACACCCCAAACCGTCCCGGGAGAGCACCCCCTCAACCTGTGACCAAAGCCAGTGCAGAGCGGAGCCGGTGCTGGAGCTGAGACGCCATGGCGGACTGTGGGTGGGTGGGAACCCCAGCACTAAGCCAATCCTAGTGCAGAGGGGGCGTGGCTCACGCAAAGCCGGGGCCAATCGAAGCCCCGCCAGCCTTAGGCCATCTGCGGCCACCAGCTCTGGCCGACCTCCCACCGCGGGGGCGCGGCCAGACACTGCTGTTTGGGGGCCGACGATGTGGGGAGGACAAGGGGCCCCATTCCCCCCAAAAAGACAAAGACTCCATGTGGGGCGGAAGATCTGAGGACTTTATTTCCGGTCACCACCCCTCCTCCCCCTCTATTCAAACACGGTGATATAAAAGGAATAGAAACAAAAAAAATCAGGCCGTGAGATTACCAACTAACCCTCTCCCACCCCCCAATCCCCCAAATCACTCCCAAATCAGGACACACGATCGATGTTTAAGTTTATTCCCCTACTATTACTGTTACCCTCTCTGTCCAGGACTCTGGTCTTCCCTGAAGCCTCCACCAACTGGTGGGAGAAAGGGAAGTGGACTTTGCAGAACGTTCTGTGTAGCAACTTGGTTCTCTCAGAACAGGTGGGGTAGGGAACACCAAGTAGGCTGCCATCATCCCCTCTCCCTTCCAGCCTTCTTCATGGCCCCATGTGGACCTCCAAACGCAACAACATGGTCAGGCGGTGCCCAACACTATGTTCCCTCTGGTCTCTCATTCTCGCCTCTACGGCCTCTGTAAGACTGCCAGCCCTTGAAGGCTCTAATGCCAAAGTAACCATTTTCTCAGGCTACAGTTCCTTCCTTTGGTAGATGTCCCTACCTCCACACACCCCTGACCTGGAGTGAGGGGTATATAGGTCTGGGGCAGGGGTAGTTTATCCCACCCCTCACTCCAGGTGGGCAATCAGCACCATCATGACAACTCCCCCCAGCAGCCCCAGCACCTCCAGAAATGACTGCAATGGTGATGCCTCCCTCAGCAGCTCTGGCAACACAGACACTGTTGCCACGTAGATAAAGCCACCTGCAGTAAACGGCAGGACCCAGCCAGGACCTGCACCACCTGCAACTTCACTGCCCACTGTTCCTCCTTCAGCCAGAAGGGCACAGGCAGTGCCTGCCAGTGCCCCTACTGCTGTCAGTAGTTGCAGACGCATCGCCTGATGGGCAGAAAAGAGAAAGAGACACTCATCAACACCTAAAGATTATCGGTGGGTTTAGAAGTGGCTGGTGGGATACAGGTATAAGGGACATGTATTTGGAAACTAAACATCAAAGTAAAAAGGGGGAGGGTCTAGAATAGACAATTTCTGAAAAAAATCTTAGAGATCAGAGATCCTTTCCACAGACTTTCTGATTGAGTAGGTGTGTGTGTGTAAGATTTCACTAAACTATTCAGATTGTTTATAGACCATAGTTTAAGAAATACTGAGCCGGGCACGGTGGCTCAAGCCTGTAATCCCAGCACTTTGGGAGGCCGAGGCAGGTGGATCACGAGGTCGAGAGATCGAGACCAACCTGGTCAACATGGTGAAACCCCGTCTCTACTAAAAATACAAAAAACTAGCTGGGCGTGGTGGCGCATGCCTGTAATCCCAGCTACTTAGGAGGCTGAGGCAGGAGAATTGCCTGAGCCCAGGAGGCGGAGGTTGCGGTGAGCCGAGATCGCGCCATTGCACTCCAGCCTGGGTAACAAGAGCGAAACTCCATCTCAAAAAAAAAAAAAATTAAAAAAAAAAAAAAAAAAAAGAAATACTGAGCTAAAGGACAAAGAAACCAGAACTTCTTCCCACTCATTTCTAGGAGACTATTGTCAATGATAGCATGAATTGTTTGGAACTAATAGGCTGTTTTGGGTTTAGGGTGAGTGAGCAGAAACAAAGGGTTTGAGGCAGCAGTGGTCGGCAGACATCACCAACCTGCTTTTTGCTGCAGCCAGACTGGACCAAGATGGCAAAGTCTCCAACCTCATGGGGCACTTCATGTAGCAGGACAGTCATTGTGGTCAGGATCCCTAGTCCCCGACCCCCTCGAAAGGAAGCCCCAATGGCCAGACCATCAGTGAAGTTGTGTGCCAAGTCAGCAGCCAGATTCAGGTATCCCGACACACGCAGGTCTTGTACAGGACAAGAAGAGAAAATGATCAGAGGCCTCCATCACCACTTGTTCCAGTCTTGGTCAGCTATCCTCACACCTCCCCTCAGAGACCACTTCACACCCAGTCCCTTAGTGTTTCCCAGACACCTGCCATTACCCACAGCACATATTCCATGTGATTCGTGAGGATGTCCCTTGTCCAGATTTATCACCAACTCTGGCCCTTACCCAAGCCTCTTTTTTCTTCTTCATGCTTCTGAGGTCTCACTGGCCCATCTCTGGGTACTGTGCTCCCTCCTCGCCGCTTCTGGACCCCCCCTGTTTCCTTTTCTTCTTCCTCTGAGCTCTGCTTCTCCTTGGTAGAATGCTCTGAGGGAAGAAAGGAGATGGTGAGAGTGGAGAACAGATCTTCCAATATGTTCTCTCCCTCCTAAGGGCCATAAGATGAGATTCTGAGGCAGGCAAGTCAGCTTTTGGAAAGTTGTTCCCTGGGCTCACCCTGTCTTCCATGTCCGTGACTTCCACGTGTGTGACTATGAGCATGTCCATGTCCATGACTGTGTCCATGTCCTCCTTTCACATGTCTCACAAATTTCTCCACGACCAGAAAGGCAACAATTCCACTGAGAACCCACAGTCCCACAGACAGAATGGGGCCCTGGCCTGGGAATAGAGGCATTGAGACCTTAAGGGAGATATGCATTCCAGACTTCTCCTTAAGAGCAGGAGGTGAGGAATAGGGAGAGATGGACCTTCCCCAGCACCCCAACTCCTGTCCCCATCTGTCTCTTTCTCACCACTGTGGGAGTGTCCATGTCCAGGTTGCTCCAGAGTGTGGTGAGAATGAGGTTCTGGAAGAAGCGGGGGAAACCAAATGAGGAATATCTGACCCAAAGGATGTGTATTTTGGGGAATATCGGAAGGTCAGGAATCAGAAAGAAGAAAGAACCCTTTTTTCCCCAAAGAACAAAATAGGTTAGATTTGAGGTAGAAGTCAGAGGTTACTTACCAAGAGCATGAGGAATGAGGTGCAGGAAGGCGTCTCCCAGGAGCCCACCGGAAGCAAAACTAAGCAAGATCTGAAGTAGAGAGCGATGCCGGGGAGAGTTTGACTCCACAGGAATAAGGAAGAGGACAAAAAATGGAGCTGCGGAGATCAGCACTGTGGCCCCCAGTGCCTGATGAGGGAGAATCAGGGTCAAGTACTGTAGAGTTTCCCAGCAATCCAGAACCAGCCCCTCTCTCTCCCATCCCCTGGAGACTCACATAAGCCCAGAGAGTGACAGCATCCAGGTCCCGTTTGATGCCTGGAGTCCCAGACTCCCCATAGCCTCCATGGCTATGCTCATGGTCATGTCCATGTCCTCTGTGGTAGAGGCTCTCATGGGAGTGGCCATGGCTATGGCCATGGTGTAAATCCTCATGTGAATGTCCATGGTCGTTATCGTGGGTATGTCCATGCCAGATGCTCTCGTGAGTGTGGCCATGGCCGTGGGCATGGCTATGTCCATGGTGGAAACCTTCATGTGAGTGCCTGTGGCTGTGGCCATGGAAGTCCTCTTGCAGATCGTCGTGCAGGTCGTCATAACCCCCGTGTCCAGCCACCGGAAGCCCCAAGGCTGCCCAGGTCAGCAGTCCCACGGCCACCCAGCGGGGGACCCCCAGACCTTTGGCCATCACGCTGACCAGAGGGACAGAGACAGTGACTCCACTTGACTCTCAACTCTATACCTAGACAGGGTCCGCTTTGCTTCAATCGCGCCCTCTGTCCACCTCTATGGGCCGCTCTCCCATTCCCTTAAGTTCCCACCTACATAGTTCCCAAGACTAGTTCTCTTTATGCCGAACCCGCTCCCGGATGTAGGGCTTTGGGACACTAGTCTTTGACCAGCCACTTTACGGACTCTCTGGGCCCTCGTCTCTATGGCTCATTAGGTGAGGGAATGGCCTGGAAAGGATAGAATGGAAAAACAGAGAATTCTCACCGGCTCCGGGATCCTCTCCTTTCCCGGTTTGCTTGGACGTGGCAGTCCCGCCTTTAGCTCCCGCGAGAACAGGAAGTTCCGTTCCACCTTCGCCCTAATGCCTTTACCAATATGGCGGCACTCCAGTAGCGACGAAGCCAGTCTGCCCTGACGCGCGTGCGCGAGCAGGGAGGTTATTTGAGGGGACGGTGGGCGAGGCGGGCTAACAGGCCGGAGGAGACCGCCTCCTCGGTTTCCAACTAGACGAGGGGGCGGGAACTCGCGCCGAGACTTCCGTCTGTACAAAGATGGCTGCCACATTGGCGCTGTCATTTTGGTACAGAGCAGAACGACGAGCTTAATTCGACCCAATCCAGGCCAGAGTCTTTTTCTCAGGGGCTTCCTCGTGCTCAGCTAATCCTCCGATCAACTCTTGGGAATCCCTGGCACCTCTTCGATATCCCTACTCTCAGCCAGGGATCATGTCTTGGGCCGCTCGCCCGCCCTTCCTCCCTCAGCGGCATGCCGCAGGGCAGTGTGGGCCGGTGGGGGTGCGAAAAGAAATGCATTGTGGGGTCGCGTCCCGGTGGCGGCGGCGACGGCCCTGGCTGGATCCCGCAGCAGCGGCGGCGGCGGCGGTGGCAGGCGGAGAACAACAAACCCCGGAACCGGAGCCGGGGGAGGCCGGACGGGACGGGATGGGCGACAGCGGGCGGGGTGAGTGTCCCAGCGGAAGGGCAGGCGAGCCAGTGACCGCGTTATCTGCAACCCCTCCCCCACACCCTCCCCAGTGCTCTTTTCCTGGCGCTCCCGCCCCCTTGTTTGTAAACACGCGTCCCTTCCCTCCCGAGGGCCTTAGCGCCCTCCTCCCCCCAGGGCGGGGCGGGGAAGGGGAGCTTCCGCTCTCCTAGCCTTGACCGCTTCAGGCCTTGGGCACTGGAGGTCGCGGGCGTGGGAAGGGCACGATTCCGCTTCAGCTTTACGACTTTGGACGTTTGAAGGCAGATTCTACGTCATAGGAAGGGTCTCTCCCAACTCTTTCCCCTGTACGCCCCGGCTACCCAGCTTTACGCTGGGAATAGAGGGGCTGGATGGTCTACCCCACGTGCCGCCCCACCCACGAGACAGGTGTGGCTTGGGGATGACCTGGTATTCATTCAAATGGATTGCCTGGAAAATTTTTCTCAACTGAGCTATCCTCCTGTCCTTGTCAACTCCCTCCTCTCACCACAATGAGGAGTACGCTGTTTTTTTTTTGCTTTTTTTTTTTTTAAGCCAGTCAAATACAGCAGTGGGGGGTTGTGTACCAATTTTAGTGACGCTAGTGTTAATAAGTTCTGATAACCCACTACCATCGGACCAGCTGGAGTTATACTGTTTTTTGACAGCAGGGTGTCTCTGGACTTAGGGATGGATGGAGTGGGCTGGGTCCAGGCACGGTGGGGTATTAGAGAATTAAAGTCTCTACTTGGATGTTTGAAGACTCATTTTCTTTTTTTGTCTCTCCTGTCTCTGTGTGTCTGTGTGCCTGTACATACCCCTCTCTCAGACTCCCGAAGCCCAGACAGCTCCTCCCCAAATCCCCTTCCCCAGGGAGTCCCTCCTGCTTCTCCTCCTGGGCCAACCCTACCCCCTTCAACAGCCCCATCCCTTGGAGGCTCTGGGGCCCCACCCCCACCCCCGATGCCACCACCCCCACTGGGCTCTCCCTTTCCAGTCATCAGTTCTTCCATGGGGTCCCCTGGTCTGCCCCCTCCAGCTCCCCCAGGATTCTCCGGGCCTGTCAGCAGCCCCCAGGTGAGAGGTTGTGACCGACTTACTGCCTGGCCACTTTCATTTCCTTGTTTTCCTTGTAACCCCATATCCTTGTGTGAACTTCCCCATGGCTCATTGACCTTCTAATCCTCTAATCTTGGCAGGCCTGTGGTCTTTGTTGAGACCCATTGCCTTTCCTGAGGTGACTGAACTTTCAATGCATGCTTCCTCCACTAAAAGAAATCTTAATATTCGTTGGTTTGTGTGTGTGGTTTTTTTTTTTTTTTTTTTTTTTTTTTTTTTGAGATGGAGTCTTGCTCTGTTGCCCAGGCTGGAGTGCAGTGGCTCAATCTCGGCTCACTGCAACCTCTGCCTCCTGGGTTCAAGTGATTCTCCTGCCTCGGCCTCCTGAGTAGCTGGGATTCCAGGTGCCTACCACCATGCCCAGCTAATTCTGATATTCTTGATGTCCTTTTCATCTATCAGTGATTTTCTGCCCGTTTGGTCCCATCTGCTTTCCCAAGACACCAGCCCTTCGGGGTCACTGTGCAACAGCACAATTTCAGGGGGGTCTTTTATTCTCTTTGGGATTGTGCTCCAGGGATGGCCCCTCACGTAGACTGCAGTGTAAATGACGCCCTCTGGAATGTGCATTGCAGGACCTTGCTTAGTGGTAGGGAATGATTTCCATCACTTCTACTAGATTCTCCTTCCCAATGAGTCTTCCTGTGACTTCCCTATTTCCCTCATCCCAGATTAACTCAACAGTGTCGCTCCCTGGGGGTGGGTCTGGCCCCCCTGAAGATGTGAAGCCACCAGTATTAGGGGTCCGGGGCCTGCACTGTCCACCCCCTCCAGGTGGCCCGGGGGCTGGCAAACGGCTATGTGCAATCTGCGGGGACAGAAGCTCAGGTATGGGGCTCAGAGTATGAACAGAGAGGGAGAGTCTGGGCCATGTATCATCACCTGTGGGATTCCCAGGGCTTACGGGGTTTGGTCAGAGCAAGTGACCTGGGGGAGGCCTGATAAGAGTAAAGAAGCTGAAGATGAGATGTGGGATGCGATTGCAGGGAAGGTCAGAGGGAAAAGGGAGCGCAAATATAGGGTTTCTGAACAGTGAGGAGACTGGGACTGGATCATCACTCACCTCCTGGTACCCTATCTCTGTATTTGGTGAACGTAGAGAGGACTTTAAGTTTTGCTTGGGGGAGATTAGGAAGAGACTAAATGGTGAAGGTGTCTCCATGCAATCTTATCGCTCTTCCCCTTTCCCTGTAGGTAAACACTACGGGGTTTACAGCTGTGAGGGTTGCAAGGGCTTCTTCAAACGCACCATCCGCAAGGACCTTACGTACTCTTGCCGGGACAACAAAGACTGCACAGTAGACAAGCGCCAACGGAACCGCTGTCAGTACTGCCGCTATCAGAAGTGCCTGGCCACTGGCATGAAGAGGGAGGGTAAGGACCTGCCCTGCCCAGGCTTCTTAGACCACATGCCCCTTCTCCCCTACCCTGTTCAAGACTCTACCTCTCTGGAAGGCTAGACTGTTCTCTCTCCTCTAGAGGGCGATATTTGATTTCTCTCTCCCTTCGAAGCTTTTCTCCCTGGTACCCTGCTCTAGCCCTTGAGTTTCCTTCTTAATGGTTAGGCCTCTGTGGCCTACACCTATGACCCCTCCCTAGACTGGTCTTAGGATAACTTTTCCTTACCCATGATGGACTTTCTGTCTCCCCTTTTCTAACCTGAGTAGTTCCTCCTCTCTCTGATTCCATGGACCCTCTCTGGTCTCTATCTCCTGTTATCTGTGATCTTTCCTCTAACTCCTGGGACTAGACACTCTAAAGCTACAGACTTTACTGAAGACCTCAGGGATCCCTTTCCTTCTTCTGTGTCTCCATCTTAGCTTCTTAAGTCCAATTCTTTGAAGTCTGAGACAGACACTTGAGAACGTATCTTGGTCAAAACCCCACTTCAGAGAAGATGAGCCTGAGGCCTGGCTTTCCCAAGGTCATGCAACAAAGGAGTGGCAGGCAGGTCTGGGATCAGAACTCACATCTGTGAAGACCTAGGCCAGTGCTCCTTTCACTGCCTGTTTGCGGAGTCAGGAGAGCACAGATTTGCATTCAGACACACTTAGATTCAATTATATGTATGACCTGCCATTACTATATGAATTTAAGCGAGCTGTTTAACCTTTTTGAATCCCAAGTTCTTCATCTTTAAAAATGAGAATAAATGCTTCCAGCATAATTATGATAATAGAGTGAATGTTAAAACGTGCTTAGCATGTTTCTTTGCATGTTTTTTATTAAATTTTTCAATCAGCATTTTCAGGTTGTATCTTGGCATATATATATATATTTTTTTTGAGACGGAGTTTCGCTCTTGTTACCCAGGCTGGAGTGCAATGGCGCGATCTCGGCTCACCGCAACCTCCACCTCCTGGGTTCAGGCAATTCTCCTACCTCAGCCTCCACTCAGCTGGGATTACAGGCACGCACCACCATGCCCAGCTGATTTTTTGTATTTTTAGTAGAGATGGGGTTTCACCATGTTGATCAGGATGGTCTCGATCTCTTGACCTCGTGATCCACCCGCCTCTGCCTCCCAAAGTGCTGGGATTACAGGTGTGAGCCACCATGCCCGGCTGGCATATTTTTTAACCATGTAGTAGGCTCTCCATTTAAATTCCTCCCTTATTCTTTTACCCTCCTCACCCTTCCTGACTTGACTTATCTGCCCTTTTGTAACCCTTGCTTCAGGGCTGCCCCCACTTCACCCTTTCTAGTGACTTCCCCAATTTCCATAAATATTTCCCAAGGGCCATGAGATCCTGATGAGGCCCTAAGGATATTTGTGGAAACCCTTAATGGCTGGCTGCTGACTCTCCGTTTTTTCTCTCCCTCTTCCCCCTGCAGCGGTACAGGAGGAGCGCCAGCGGGGAAAGGACAAGGATGGGGATGGGGAGGGGACTGGGGGAGCCCCTGAGGAGATGCCTGTGGACAGGATCCTGGAGGCAGAGCTTGCTGTGGAGCAGAAGAGTGACCAGGGCGTTGAGGGTCCTGGGGGAACCGGGGGTAGCGGCAGCAGCGTGAGTGTTGGGGTCAATTCACTCTCCTTCGTGATGGGGGTAGGGGGAGGCAGTCTAGGTCTGTTCTACATCCCTGTTCTATATCCCTTCCCATCCTTTGCTCTCATAACCTTCCTAACACTGCTTGGGACTAGAAGTCCTGCCAAACAAGGTCTTTCAAATATCTGAGGTGGATGTGATACCTCCTTCTGTCTCTACTCCCCAAAAACCCCACTGGCAGAACCACAGGCACTTCCCAAATAAATAATTGCTTACACAAATACCAGAAGAGAAGCCTGACTTACAGGGATTGGTTTGGATGGGGCTCACAGGAAGACTATATGTAAGGAGGGGGTGTCAAAAGCCTCTTACTAGGGGGCTCCCAGCATATCTCCAAATCTTCCATAACTCTTACCCCCGTCCCCTGCAGCCAAATGACCCCGTGACTAACATCTGTCAGGCAGCTGACAAACAGCTATTCACGCTTGTTGAGTGGGCGAAGAGGATCCCACACTTTTCCTCCTTGCCTCTGGATGATCAGGTCATATTGCTGCGGGCAGGTCAGTGACCTTGGATCCCTTTCACCTCTTGACATTTGACCCCTCTTTTACTTCCCGACCTTTAGTGACCCCAGTGGCCTTACCTTGCGTACTAAGGGAGCCAAACTTGCTGACCTCGACATCTCTTTTCTCCTTCTCTCCACTGATGTGCTTTGAATCCCTTGGCCTGATTTCTGGCTCCTGACCCTTGCTGCCCCACCCAGGCTGGAATGAACTCCTCATTGCTTCCTTCTCCCACCGATCCATTGATGTTCGAGATGGCATCCTCCTTGCCACAGGTCTTCATGTGCACCGCAACTCAGCCCATTCAGCAGGAGTAGGAGCCATCTTTGATCGGTCAGTGGCCCTCGGCTAGGCTGGCATGTAGATAAAGGGGGTGGGGCTATAGGCTGGTCCGTGTCCAAGGCTGGCTGAGCTGTGACCTTTGAGTGACCTGCAGGTCCCTCTCCAGGGTGCTGACAGAGCTAGTGTCCAAAATGCGTGACATGAGGATGGACAAGACAGAGCTTGGCTGCCTGAGGGCAATCATTCTGTTTAATCCAGGTAAGAGGAGGATTACCTTTGTTTCTCAAGGCCAAGGCAACCTTGGAGCCTCCTCTTCTCCGAGACTCCTAAGTTACCCAGCTATCCCCCTCAGTAAGACCCTCAACCTGGAAATCTCCCAACTGGCCAAGGAAAAACCCACATCCACGGATCCGTCCCACAAACCCAGTAGGCCCTGCTTCCCTTGCCAGGCCTCTGGTAAAGGGCAAGCAAGTGCAGACCAAAAGGGGCATCCTGTGGCTCACATCTACACAGCTGTACTGATTTGATTTGTGTGCATTTCTCTTCCGTGCCATCCTAGATGCCAAGGGCCTCTCCAACCCTAGCGAGGTGGAGGTCCTGCGGGAGAAAGTGTATGCGTCACTGGAGACCTACTGCAAACAGAAGTACCCTGAGCAGCAGGGACGGTGAGATGGCGCTGGGGGGACCGAGGCTCCCTCCGGGGTGGGGAGTGCCAGGAGGATGTGTTCAGAGCACGTGTGCTGCCAGCTCTCACTCCCCTTCTCCCACCTTCACCCCAGGTTTGCCAAGCTGCTGCTACGTCTTCCTGCCCTCCGGTCCATCGGCCTTAAGTGTCTAGAGCATCTGTTTTTCTTCAAGCTCATTGGTGACACCCCCATCGACACTTTTCTTATGGAGATGCTTGAGGCTCCCCATCAACTGGCCTGAGCTCAGACCCAGACATGGTGCTTCTCACATTGGAGGAGCACACATCCAAGAGGGACTCCAAGCCCTGGGGCAGGGTGGGGGGGCCATGTTCCCAGAAGCTTGATGGGGTGAGAAGTACAGGGCAGAACCAAGAACATAAGCCCTCCGAGGGATCTGCTTGATATCCCAAGTTGGAAGGGACCCCAGATCCCTGCGAGGACTGGTTGTCTCCCTTCAGTGGCCTTGAGTCTCTGAATTTGTCGGGGTCTCCCATGATTTGGGGTGGTTTCTCACCCTCTGTCCTTCCCCCAGCACAAAGCACTGGCACTGCCCCTGGGACCTTGCTTCCTTCTCATCTTGCCTCATTTTTCTTCCCATCTGAAGAGTGGAAATGGGGAACTCCCCAAGAGATGGATATTGGGGGGCAGGCCCCCCAAACTGATAAACATAAGTGTAGGGCCCTGACAGGCCTTCCTTTTCTCCAGCCTGGCAGATAGGGGCCTTTCTGGGAGGAGGGGGGGGCCCTGTGACTGTCTCCTGTACAGAGTCTCCTTTTACACTTCACCTCCTTCAGTCAGACTGAAATATAAAAAAGGTGGTGGTGATGGTGAAAGGGCTGGTGGAGATGTAGGAACCGATCTGCTACTTTTAACTTCCTCTGAGGATAGAGACTTGCAGTTAGACTCAAAGAAGTACTGTACTTTCCCAGGTTGACTAAGAAATGCCAGTGGTGGGGCTGGGTGTTTGGGAAAGGCAGGGCCCTAAAATGGCCTGTCCCTAGGGCTCTCCAAGCACTAGCCTTCCCAGCTTTCCCCTCTCCCCATCTCTTCCTGTCTGACTTGGGTAAGGGGCCTGGGCTGTGAGGACAGGGCCCCCGCAGGGGACGGTTTCGTGAGTGTAGTCCCGGAGGCCTTCCCTTCACCGCTCTCCTCAAGCCATGGGCACATAGCATAGGCTGGGGACATGGGATCCTGGCCTGAGAATTGAGGGGGGGTGGCCAGCCCGCAGAGGTGGGGTGCTGGGGCTGCATGATTTTTGCCCTGCGTCTCGTCTCTTTGGGGTTCCTTCCCCCTCTCATACATAAAATCGCTTTCAAATTAAAATCGCTGTTTTCTGGACTGAGGTGACTGTATAAGGATGGGCAGCGCCGTGTGGGGCTTGGGGGGGTATCCGGTTGGGAGCTCCGGACGCGATCCCTGGACGCCGCCGCCGAGGTTCCCTGGGGCCCGAGAGGCGGGCGCAGGGTGGGGGACACAAGGCGAGCTTTGTCGGGGAGGGGGGAGAGGGTGTGCCAGGCTGGGGGCGGGGCCGGCCGGTGGAGGAAGGGGGGCGGCGGATTCTCAAAGGCGCCTTGTTCGCCCTTGCCCTCCCCGCGCCAGCGGGCGGCGGCGCCTCGGCTCGCTCCGGCCTTCCCTCCGGCCGCGCCGCGGGCTCCGGGCAGACCCGGCGCCGTGCCCGCTCGTGGGGGCGCACTGGGCACCGAGCGCCGCGGCCTCCTCAGGCGTTGCCCGCCCGAAGGCGGCCCACGTCCCTGAGTGACCCCATTTCCCTGAACCCTTCCAAGCAGAATCGACTGCTCCCTTATCTTACCACTGCTCCCCCTCTACCTGGGCCCTGGGACTCCCTTACCTCGTCCCCCACGTGCATCTCCTAGGACCTGACTAGCCTGTGTTTGTCGGTGGTCCCAGTCTCCTGCTCCTGGAAGAAGACCTCCCCGCCCATCCCCCGCCCCAGATCGTCGCTATCTATAGCCTGGTCTATAAATAACCCCGCCCCGGCCCGGCTCTGTAATTACACGGGGCGGGGCGGGGCGAGGGAAGTAATTATGGAGACCTGATTTTGGGGGGGTGGGGACTACGACCCCCAGGCCCGCCTCTCCCCTCCCACTGTGCCCTAAATCCCGCCCAGGCCTCTGCTGAGAGGGGACTCTGGGCCCCCAAGAGGGATTGAACTGGACGGGGTGTGTGTGACTGGACGTTTGGGTCCTGGAAAAGGAAGGGACTGGGGAAGATACTGGGGTTTCGGAAAAGAGAATCTTAGGGTACGGTACATTCGACCTGCAAGGAGCAGGAGAGAGCGAGCGAGAGAGGGAGGGTTCCCGCCTCCCTCCCCAGGTGGAGATTGAGGGTGGGGTTTCCCCTCGGTGGCTGTGGGCGGGCGGCTGGAGGCGGGGGCCGGCCGGGGGCGGGGGCGAGGTGGGGGCTCTGGGCGCCGGGGTGGCCGGGGACACACAGAAGCGGCAGCCACCGAGGAGGTAGCAGTGCTGGGATCCCCGACGGCGCCTTGCTGCATGGAGCTGGGCCGCTGACAGCTGTCGCTGCCCACAGCCTCTGACCTCCCTGGGACCCCGGCGTCCGAGGCTCGCAGTCTGCTCCCTGTCTTCTGTCAGCCTCCGGGCATCCAGCGCCTCAGGCCGACCTGGGTCCCTGGGACCTGGCGTTCCGGTCGCTCAGCCATGGAGCGGTGCAGCCGCTGCCATCACCTCCTCCTCCTCCTACCTCTGGTGCTGGGGCTGAGCGCGGCCCCAGGCTGGGCAGGTAAGAGGACTCCTGATGCCTGGGTCCTCGGAGTCAGGCTGGAGCTCCGAGTGCCTCTGGGAAGGGGACAGCTGATGCCTGGGGCCGGAGCCTCTGAGTCTGTAAAGGAGACTTTGGGCTTCAAGGGTCCAGGCTGGAGGGCAAGACACCTGGGTTCCTTGGAGTCAGGGTAGGGATCTCTTCGTCCTTGAAGTGACTGGGGGAGGGCAGGTAGGGCTGGAAGATGGAGGACTACTTTAGAGAGCCCTGAGTGGTGATGGATGCTTGTCTTGGGTCCTTGGGAAGAGCTGAAAATGGCCAGAGCTGAAGATGGCCAGGGCCAGCCTCGTTCAGCCATTGCAGGTTTGAGGGTGGTAGATGCCAATGTTCATGGTGAGGTCTGTGAGTCTTCTGGCCTTTCTGTCAATATCTCTGGGATAAGGGGTGAGCACCTGTGATTCAGAGCAGAGCCTAGTAAGCCCAGAAAGAAAGGATTCTTGACTACCTGTCCCGCTGGCCTCCCGAACAGCATCCTCCTCCCCCTCCCTGTGCCCTCGATGCTGCCACGCGGCTGGCTCTGGGGAGCACTGGGGCTGGCTGCCAACAGGACGGCCTGCTGGACAGGCCAGGATCAGGTGTCTGAGGCCAGAGCCAACTCTTTGCATTCCTGCCTAGCCCCTCCTCCCTCTGGCCAGCCAGGCTCCCCTGGGACCCTGGTGTCCACAGCCCCAATCTTTTCCTTCTTTTTCCCAGGACCCAGAACTGCTGGCTTCTAGGGAAGGGGATTTGATGTCAGAGAAGAGGGGGCGGTGAGCAGCAAGCCCTCAGCAGGCTGAAAAAAGCTCCCCACTTCTGGAGACACTAAGGGCTGATTTATATTTAACCGGACTATTGAATTCTTCTCTGCTTTAGAGAGAAAAGGGTCAGAATGGCAGCATAAAGGATTTAGATTAGATTACAGAAGGAAGAACTTCCAAGATGTGAGGACAGCCTAGCCAGGAAATTGAGGCCTACGGTGCCTGTAGACTCTAGGAGTCTTTCTTAGGGGGAAGAGGGCTGCTGTGGCATGGAGGCAGGGGGATGGCTAAGATGACTGTTTCTTATTTCAGGGACCGAGTGGGTAGAGATGGGACTTTAGGGAAATGGGTTACTGTGGAATTCCGAAGATTAGAGAAGAAGGCATTGGAGGGGCCAGAGGTAGAGTAGTGGAGGGTGATGGGGCTACCAGTGGGGAGCCTGAGGGGCAGATGGGGCCGGAGACAGTGGGGCAAGTATGTGGCCTGGCGTGGGAAGATGGTGGGTGGACCTGTGGGTAGGTCGCCTATATGATCGAATTACATTCCCCTGGGGTTTGGTGCAGGGTGGGGGCCTCCGAGGTCTCCTCGGCTTGGGGTCTCTGTGAGTCTCTGTGTCTCTGTCTCACTCACCCTTCATCTCTCAAAGCGGCCCTTGTGTGTTAGTGTTTGCGGAGCTGCCACACGCGCGGGGGCCAGGCTTAGGTGGGGGCTGGGTGGGGGGAGGCCGTGGTTTCCCGGCTCCTGGACTCAAAGGGCCTTTTCTCTGCCTGCCTGCCCCACCTCACCCACCCCACCCAGCTGTGCTCTCCTGATTGCTCTGGCCTCTGCCCTGCCCCACGCTTCTCTGAAAGTTTTGCTGGAACCCTCTTTGGGATTTTTCCAATCTGGAGCTGATGGTGTGAAGAGTATGTATACAGGGGAGGAAGTGAGGGCGAGGTGATCTTTTGTTTTCCAGGGAGTGTGAGCCCTAGGAAGCCGAATTCTAGGTAGATAGGGCTGGTGGGCTGTGTCTTGCATCTCTGGGTCCCAGGTGGTGGGGTTGGTGGGGGTGGCGAGACAGAATTGAGGTTCCAGGTGTGGGGAGCTTGCCTGGGTTCTGGGCAAGCACTCTGATGGGATCCACAGATGTGTGGCTCGGGGCCCTGGACCTGTTCCGGCTCTGCGTGGCAGCTTCAGCCCCCGCCCCCCATTCCTCCATCCCTCCCCAACTCATCTCCTAAACCAGGAGGCACATGCTCCTGGGAGAGCTTTCTTGTATCTTTTTCCTCAGCATGGTCAGGGTTGTTCCCACCCCCCACTCCCAAACCTGGGATATGTAGCTGCTCAAAGCCCCCTCCCATAGAGCTGCCTCTCTGCTCTCTTCCTTGTGGCCCCCCTGCACCTCCTGTGCCCAGGATGATCGATTGCCCAGATGTTGTTTGTGCTGGAGACGGGACAGATGCCAGAGACCCAGAGAGTGAGAGATATGGAAAGAGAGTGGAAGCCAGGGAGAGAAAAAGGTAGATAGAAAGTGAGGGAAATGGAGAAAGACAGAAGAGACAGACATGGAAAAACCAACATAAAGAGACAGAGAGAGTAAGAGAGACAGTGAGAGAGACAGGAGACAGATGGAAAGCTGAGAGAGATTCAGAGAGCATAGAGAGAAACAGATTCATAGGCTAAAAGACAACGGGAGAGTGTGAGAGGCAGATGCTAGGAGACAGAGGGGCAGGAGGTCATGGGGTTGCATGTCAGCTGAGGCTGCCCTGCCTCCAGGTACCTTTGCATTTCTCATCCACTGTTCAGAAGCAAGTGAGGGTGAGGTGACCTGTGCCTTGCGGGGAGTTTGAGCCCTGGAAAGCTGAGTTCTGGATCCCAAATGTCCCCTACTTATGCCCTCCTGAGGCCAAATCATCCTGATCTGGATGCCCCTGTTCCTTCTCCTGATCATCATGGACTCTCCCAGGTGCACCCTCTGTGGATGTGCTCCGGGCCCTGAGGTTCCCCTCTCTCCCTGATGGTGTCCGGAGAGTGAGAGGCATCTGTCCAGCTGATGTGGCCTACCGAGTGGCACGACCTGCCCAGCTCAGTGCACCCACTCGCCAGCTTTTCCCAGGTATGGGAGACACGGTGGGTTAGGGAGACCAAGGGGGAGGTAATAGGGTGGGGCCTAGGATCAGACACCAGGAGGAAAGGGGTTATGGCTCCCTTTGCCTCTCACTCTGTGTGTATCTCTCTTGGATACTCCCTAGGAGGATTTCCCAAAGATTTCTCTCTTCTGACTGTTGTCCGGACCCGCCCTGGTCTCCAGGCTCCCCTCCTGACTCTTTACAGTGCCCAAGGTGTCCGACAGCTGGGCCTGGAGCTGGGCCGACCAATCCGCTTCCTGTATGAGGACCAGACTGGGCGGCCTCAACCTCCGGCTCAGCCAGTCTTCCGAGGCCTCAGCCTAGCAGATGGCAAGTAAGTTTGTTTGCTCCTCTGGTCTGCCCGGCCCACACTTTCAGGAGGAAGTGCCTCTGAACCCCTACACTCCAAAGTGTGAAACCTTTCAGACCCTTTTGGCCACAGCACACCTGCCCACTACCCAAGTTTCAGTCACCTCTAGCCCAGAGTTTGGGCTTTAGAGTGTGCACCCTTCTCTGCATGTTGAACCAGCGAATTACTTAAATTTTTTGAGTGTCAGTTTCTACATCTATAAAATGAACATTAAATAGAATCGGCACAATCAAATGAGAAATTGATGGCCCGGTCCCTGGAGCACTGTAACCACTCAATAAATGGTAGCCATTGTGATTACTGTTCTTATCACCATTGGCTTCAGCT